TTATTTGCACCACCGGTGGTAAGAACAATAGTTAGATTGGCTCACTAAGGGTAAAAGTACTGCTCAACTTTTTTATTAGTTTATATACATTCCAGGCATCTGTAAATTTAGGAAAATACCCATCAGATAGTTACATACACATCCGACAAGATGGAAACAACAAAGCATGTACCCAGTCAAAACAAAGCAATTGATCACGCGCGCGCACACACACACACACAAAAGGCAACCATGCACACATAGCCTGCATGCACGACGTAGCTAGCAGCAAAGCTCGACCAGATAGACCACCCACACGGCTGGATCCATCGGCATGTTGTACTATCCGTCTTGCTCGTTGGCGAGCATCCGGCGGTGGACCTTGTCGATGAACTCGGAGGCCTTCCGGTCGATGTCGCGCTCGGCGTACCAGTGCCGGGCGTAGTCGTCGTCGTCGCTCGGCCGCACCCTGTGATGATGGTACCTCTGCTGCGGTGGTGCCGCCGCATGCTGCTGTTGCCGCGTCGCCGCCGTGGCCCCTTCCTCCTCCTGTCTCTTGTTCTTGAACCCGAACAGGGACGCAAGCGCCGCCCTCTTCTTCCCACACCCCATCGCGCAAATCTCTCTTGCTCTAGCCTCTAGCTAAGCTTAGCTCCGTTGCGAAATGTGCAATGGTAGTTTGCTTGGTTGGCTGCACGGAGACATGGTGTGGGTGTGGCTATGTATTTATAGCGGCTGGACATGGCCCACCGCACGCGCGCATTCCCGCCTTGAGTGATTGATTCGTGTGGATGGTTAGGCGAGTGATTTGAATGATTAGAGGTTCTCCGTGGTGCTTTTTGACTGGCCACTCCTCGAGCCTCGACCAGGTCGTGTGACCCATTGCCATTTGTTTGGTTAATCCATGGTGATTAGTGTTGACAAGCAAGTGATCAGATGGACACTCGAGCAAGCAAACAGAACTCAAGCAGATGACAAAAGGTGGGAGCTGTTGACTTGGTCGATGATACCGTCTATCGATCTTGTAGAAGTGTATGTTCTAGCTAATACAACCAAAAAACCAATCTGATGAAAAAGACTAGGCAACACATTATATGTCAATACTTCCTCGTCAGCCGGGTCTTGAACTCAAAACATCTTAGCTTTGATACCATGTAGAAATGCATGCTCTAACCAATGGAAACAAAAAACCGATCTGATGCAAGAGACTAGACAACATATTATATGTCAACAGATCTAATTGAAAGAACCGTGCATGCATGCATGCATATGCTCAGCTCAGTGGCACGTAACTGGTGACGCGCACAAAGGTGCACCTACAGGTTGCGATCAACACGTACGGCGTGCATGCATGCACGCACGCAAAGGCCGAGTTGGGCAGAGCAACCGGCCGTGAGCTGAAACAAAAACGAACAGAGCAATCGATACGGTCAGCGCTCTGAACCTGTCAAATCTATGGCGTTCTTGCACACTATCAACTGTACAGGAGTTGAATTGTTCAATCCGACGTGTACACATATATTTCAAATCCTACAAACAGCTTAAATGAGACGCCAATGCCTACAAACAGCTGGCTTAAATGAGATGCTGCAAGGACAAAAGGATTCCCGGGCAACATCTTGTCCAATCTTGAAATCGACAGTCAGTCGAGAAAACGCATCAAGCAAGTGCCATGTTTTTCGTAGTAGGATTCCGTTAGTTGTTGGCTGCATGCTTGGATCTATCTACATGCATGACTGCGTCGCTACGCAGAATTTTCAAAAGGTGCACAAGACCTCGGTAGGTATTCACACCATTGAGCAAACTAACCCTTTCTTTTTTGTGATTGAGCTAACTAACCTCGTGGATAGTACTCGTAGTAACACCAATCTTTTCTTTTTTGAGGGGTAGTAACACCAATCTACTACACAACAAATTAACTAACCAATCTATTAGTACTATCAAGCTCTGGGCAATTGCCAAGTCACCGTTTGGATTGGTAATGGGGACTGGACTGCGTTCATGAGTTGGCAGAAAGGAGCGAGATCATTCTGCAGTTTATTCAGTTCTATACGAATAAATACCTAACCTCACACGTTCCTCATCGTTCCAGTCTTCCAGATGATCACTTACTAGCTAGAGTAGATAGATTATCAGCCTAGGTACACTTTGTTAACCCATGCATCGTTCGTTTCGTCCTGAGCTAATAAGCAAGTCCAACAACAAACACACACGTAGGATGGAAACGGATATACACTACCGTAGCGAGTTCCGTACACGCTAGGTTTTTCTTCTATTTCCGATAAATCGGTAGGGGCACCATCTTTTCATTTAGACGAAATATATACTTCCTTTGTCCAGAAATACTTATCGCAAAAAAAATAAAAATTGATGTATCTACAACTAAAACTCATCTAAATACATCTATTTTTGTGACAAGTAATTTTGAACAGAGAAAGTATATGACAGAAGACACCTTATTAAGGTAATGCGAAAAAACCCGTGTAGGAGCTCAACCGTTCAGACGATGCCCACAACGTGGTGTAACCGTCAAAAGCATTGGCACACGCTACTTGATGCCTTCAAAAGCCATCATCAGAGCATCTACAATACACCTAATATAAGTTGCCAAACGCTCGCGGACAGTAACCAGGCATACTGCAAATTTCATCTCCAACAACCGTAGTATAGTAGCCATTTCCGATTAGCATTTTCATACAAAACCATGCAGTGCCATGATCTACGTAAACCACTACTGCCAACTAAACTACTCGTCGTCCTCGTTGAAGATGTTCACGAAGTTGGTGCCGGAACCGCCAGCCTCGTGGTCATTGGTGTCTAGGCACACGTCCGGTTCCTCGACCTCCTCCAAGTTGGCGAAGATCTTATCAATCTCCGCCATTCGCCGGCGGAGGAAGCAGCGATTGGCCTCTAGCCTCGGCCTCCGACTCGAAGGACTCGAAGATGGCATACTGCTCCGCCGCCTCCTCCGTCTGGGCTAGCTCAAATTCCGCGATGGTGTTGGCCATGTCGAAGCCTACAGGCATCGGATCTGCCTCCGCAGCCTCCTCCTCCTCCGCGTCCTCCTCCGCCAGCTCTGACTCCTCCTCCATCATGGCAATGTCCTATTGATCCGGCTCCACCACCTCCTCCTTCTCTGGTTGCAGTGAATCCGGAGGCAGGTCAGCAGCAATCAGAGCATCGCGCCTGGCCAGGATCTCCTTCAGAAGCTGCAACCGGTGCTCTGGAGTTAGCATGGTGTAGGTGGTGATCCTCTGTCGGGCCATGGTTAGCGGCTATTAAGAGTGAATGGAAGGTGGCGGCGCGGAGGGGAGGCAGAGGGAAGGAATGGCAATGGGCTAGGGTAGGCCTGCCGCCGTCCGACTATCCTTAAATAGCCGGACCTGGTCCCTAGGGCGGTACGACCAAGCGGCGCCACGCGGTGCCAAATGCGTCTGCACCGAGAACCGGAGGAGGCGCCCATCGGATCGACGGTTTCCGCGTGTGACCGAGTGAGCCCTTATGGTCGGTCCTACGTGGAAGTGTCGGTCAGTCTGGGCGTTTGGGCTGGATTTGCCAAATCCGGTTGGGTGACGATTGCACGTCCACGCAGACCACCCAGGCATTTGGCGCGGATACAGGGTGGGAGGGGGGGAGGGGCGGGTCCGGTTGTAGATGCTCTCATCACCTCAATGTGTGTTAAACGAGTGCCCGTGAAAATGGCCAATCCTATTTGCCACCTGCAGGCAGCAAATAGTGGATGCGACGCCCGCATGTTGGGCGATTTGGGTCGGCCCGGTTCTGATTTTCTTCTCTGTTATTGCTTTTTCTTTCATTTTTTCTTCTGTTCTTTTTTCTTCTTCACTAGCAGTTGTATTTTTTCCTGTGTGTGGTTTTTTGTTTCGGCTTGCAATTTTCATTTTTTTTCCTTTTTATCCTTCAGGTTTGGTTTTTCTTCTGTTTTTATGGTTTTCACATTTTGCGGACTTTTGTTTTTTAGCTTTTGCAATATACAGTGAACATTATTTCTATTGTATATTTTTCCTAATATATGTTGAACGGTTTCAATATAGATACTATAGTTTCTTTTATTATATGGTGAATTGTTTTTAATACACAATGATTTTTTTATATGATGAACATTTTGTCATATACATTGAGCATTTTTGTAATATACATTGAACATTTTTTAATATTGAATGTTTTATAAATATATGATCAATATTATTTAATACACACTGAACTTTCTTTTTTATATTAGGTGAACCTTTTTTTAATATACACTAACTTTTTTATAAAACACATAGTGAATTTTTTTATAAAATATATTTTATTTTAAAATAGGGTTTTAAATGTCTAGCTCCTAAAACGATAGCAGATATCTTTGGTGAAAAACCAGAAAAAAAAAACCGCTCGCCGACATAATGGGTCTGCCCAGTCGTGTCTGGCTTCAGCCAAGGCTCCACTAAAATGAATCAATATGTTTTTTTTATTTTAAAGTAGGAAATCAGTAAATGAAATCTGAGAAATAAACAATCCATTCTTTATAAGTTGTATCGTTTTTGTAAAATTCAAACTTTTCTAATTTTGAACAAACTTATAGAAAAAACTTTCAAAAAAACAAACTTATAGAAAAAATATTAAGATCTGCAATACCAAGCAGTATCATTAGATCCATCATGCAATATATTCCCGTATTTTATTTATTTATTATTGAACATCCAGATAGCTTCTAGAAACATGGCCAAAGATAGAAATTTTTAACTTTTGAAAATACACAATTAATGCACCTTATAAAAAGGCAGGGGGGGATGAACTATTCCTTGCCAAAAAAAAGAAGGAATTAATAACCTGCCAAAAGACGTGCATGACCAAATACCTGGCGTTATAATTTCCTACCATTCAATGTACTCCTATATAACCCTGCTTTAAGTTTTGCCACACATGTCTATCTAAACCTCTCTCTATATAGACCACACCAAGTACCATTAGTCTCGGCGAAAACACAACCAAAGAGCAACAAAAACTATTGCAACATCTACATGGAGAAGTGCACGAAACGCCTCCATGCATTAGCGCTCCTTCTTCTCGTATGCTTCGCTACTCATGCACAAGGTAAGCAGTGCATGCTTTACATCTTTTTTTCTCATGTCCCTTCTTAATGTACTAAGGAAAACGAGTACTCCATATCCCTAATGTGCATCATTATTTGTCTTAACAATTCCACAGGCAGTGGCACGGAGTCCGGTGACGCCGAGGCTTTTGCGTGCTACAAGCTTAATGTTTTCCCATCCTGCAATCCAAAGACAAGTCGATGCTACTGTTGTACAATGGATCAGTGCAAAACCCGCTATGGCACAATGGATGAGTGCCAAGCTCACTGTGTAGCTTCGCCTTTGGGTGTAAATGAGCCAGCGGCACCCTCCTCCTCCTCCTCCTATGTACTTCCATGAAAGTGAATGGAGTATTATGTTTGTTTCTTTGAGAAAAAGGTTGGAGCCCAGCTTTTTATAGAAATCTTTAATATGGTGTTCCACTGGGGATACCACTAGCTTTACAACCAAAGTAACCGAGATGAACAAATCGATGCAACACATGCTACAACTAGTACCCGTGGTTGAATACAACGAACCTAATAGGCCTACACCCTCATGCCCCAGCACGTCCCGCCCTTTTAAAAAAAAGAAACCATTTCGAAAAACTAACTTCGTGCGTACACCCTTGGCTCATTAGATCGATTGTTACCTAAAACCTGCCACTAAAGCACATCAAGATGAAAATTTGAAACTTCACCTCCCTCACAATGCTTGTTTCATGGACCGTCTGAAACGAGAGGAACGCACACATCTTTTATCACTAGAGCATGCCGCCGCCGATCCTACTCAAGAACATTCTTACCAAGGCTAGACTTTGGGTGACGACGGGAGCTAAGAAACTAGGGAACATTCTAGTTCGTGAGTAGTTGTCAGGTGGCGTGTTATCGTGGGTTGTAAACAATCAAAATCTATTTTCCTCTTAATTAATTGATGAGATAAATCGTTTGCCTCCTTTCGAAAAGAAAAAAAAAATCTGCTTCACCGCATAGTTTACACTCCGCTTCAATCGAGCACCCTTTGTTCATCTCTACTACTAGTAAAGGGGAGTTGGTCGTTGTACTTTCGACTCCGCCTCCACGGACGAGACTTGCCTGCTCCCCCGTCGTGTGCTCATCCGTGCTCCCGTCTACATGGCTTGATTTGATTGGAACAAAATAAGCCCCGGCCCAACCCCCTTAAAATCAAGGGGGGAGATGATTAGATTAGAAAGAAAAAAGAAAAAAGACAACCGTAGGATTAAGTGGGAGCACGGATGGGAGCACGGAGAGGGAGCAGGCAAGCCGGATCCCGCCTCCACCACTTCCCATGCCCCCTCCCCACATCCTGCATTAACTCAATCAAATCAAATCAAATATTACCGAAATCTCAACTACTAAATCAAAATTTCTCTTGTATTCCCTTACCCACACCCAAATCAAATCAAATCTTACCAACACCTCACCTAAGTCAAAAACTTCCCTTCCCGGCCCCTACTCATACTCAAATAAAATCTTAACAAAATCTAGAATATAATGGGTGCAAGATCTATGTCGGACAATATTGATGTTGAACCACTAGAATATGCATGTCCCCTTTGCAACGCAGGGCCATTTAGCAATTAAGAGTAGTTTTCATCTTTAACCTAAACAGGCATACTACATGTCGTCAATTACAGAAATCAACTACTGGAATGGACATATGCAGAACTTAAGCTCGGCTAAGACCTCAGGGTCAGTCCTCCTGGACACGCATATCATGAAGACAAATCCAAACTTGTCCTAGTATTTCGCATTCCATTCTGACAATTCCTGCAACAAACAGTTTGAAGAAACCAGCGGAATTGAGTACAGAAATCAGATCAGATCAATCATACCACAGATGCAAGGCACCGTATGACCTGCACGGTGGTATGACCTGCACGGTGGAATCAGTGGTTGTGGAAAGTACTCCCTCTGTAAACAAATATAAGAGTGTTTGGAACACTATTTTAGTGATCTACGCTCTTATATTTCTTTACGGAGGGAGTACAACTGAATGCTCCTCCTTGCTCCATCTGTAGTAATGAGTGATGGCCTGATGATGAAGTGATGAACTAACTGAGACCAACAGACGAAAGAAGAACTAATCAGCAGGAAACGGACTTGGAGACGACGCGCGGGAGGTGGTGCCGATGTGTGGGTGGGCGGCGAAGCCCTCCAGCCATCCAGTCACATCCACCTAGGTCTAATTTGTTCCTTCCCGGTCGCACACATGGCCAGCACGGAGCACACACACCATCCAGAGAGAGAGAGAGAGAGAGAGGGAGAGAGGGAGATGGACTCGCCTCGATCCGGTGCTGCAGGCCTCCATTCGTTGCTGATGTGTGCCCACGCTCCGTAGCCGCCGCAAGTCTCGAGAGGGGAGGGAGGAAGAGCACGCTCGGTTTTCTGTCAGGTGAGGGAACCGCCCCGTTGTCCCCAGGCCTCCGCCGCCCGGTTCCCTCAAGCCGCCACCACATCTTCATATACGGACGCCGCCAGGGAGAAGTCGGGCTCGTTAAGTACATCGGAGTGAGGGTGTGAAGAGGAACTGTTTTTATTTGAAGATTTCAAAGGTAAATTTTGTGGAGATATATAGATTCAAGGAAGATGAAGGAACCATCGTGATGGGCTTCTGAATATGGGTGACATCACTACTCCGGCCGGCCGCTCAAATGCCTCCTCAGTTAATCTTATAGGATCGAGTACGATAGTGGGAATTAACTATAAGTACATAGTGGATGGTGGCATGAGGTAGCGACGCGCTGGTGAAAAAACATCGGGGGAAATATGCCAGCAAGGGATGCTACTTGAGCGTGGAAAAGAAAAAATAACGTAGAGATGAAGTGACGTTGGTGAAAATTGCTGAGGTGGCTAGATGATGATGTGGACGGGTTGCATGTTGAGAGAATTATTAGTAGTGGGAATCAACTTCTTAAGAATGTAAGATGTAAGATTTGTGTCCATTAGACATGTGTGATAAATTAAAATCATATTTTATAACAAACTGAATGCTAGTTCTCCAGAAGTTTAGTTTCAAACACTATAATTTATATTCATTTAGAATTAGACTGAATCTCATAGGTCTAAAAAAAGTACGAGAAGACAAAATAGCATTTCCTTCCATACTTTTATGCGTATCACTCCACTCAATATCCTTAATTAAATATTGTAGATCATGTGTTTCTAATGTATATGCCTTCACACAGGTTTCTAGATTATACATTGTCTACCTTAATTAGGTGCAAATATAAGGAAAATTCTAGAGTATATGAGGTGATCCAGGTGATTTTTATCTAAATCATCCGTGTTTGATTTTTTTGTCGGTTCTTTCATTGTCAATTTATATTCAGTTTAAGATAGCGAAATAGGACATGCAAGGCAAACCGAAAAAAAAATCTGAGTTTAGCAGAATGTGGACATATAACACCAAACAAATCCTTGATCTAGCAGAATGTGCACAGATAATATAAGGTAAGAGTAGTAGTAGATGATTCAAATTTAAATTACCATTTATATATCAGGCCTCTTTTGGTTCATAGGATAGGATTATCATAGGAATAGAAATCTTGTAGGAAATAAAATGACATGTATCTCAAATCCTATGAGTAGGAATAGGAAACCAGATGTCATTTGGTTGACACCAAAGGAATTTTTCCATTGAGTCTAGGCTTTTTTTTTTATTTTCCTATGAAATGTGGAGGATAGGAACCAATCCTATGTAGGAATAGAAATCCATTCCTATGAATCAAATGGCTCTAAAGAAAAAAATCCTATAAGAATCCTATCCTCTAGAATTCCTATGAAATTCCTCTAAACCAAAGAAGGCCTAATTAGATAATTCATTTTTCCGTTGCAGAACACCATCAGACCATCCAGTGTGGTTGGCACAGAACTTGGCAGCAAACAGGGTAGGAATGTCAGGATGGAAATCTTTGGAGGGCTCGACTTCCCATGGCGGTGGCAAGCCATCTGTGATCGGACGATGACTGCAGGACAGAAGAGACTTGGTGTGCATATCGATGCTGATCACACACTCAATCTCCCTGCACAGTTGGGCCCTTCTCTTCCAATCGCGGTAGTAATCTCCCAGCAACAGGTAGAGGACGCCGGCCTCGTCGGACTTCAGGACTGGGTTCTGCGGCACCGCTTAGTTTGGAGTTAGATTACAATACGACAGGTATAAGACCGTTTCCAACACACCTCCTTAATCTGAACTACTACTACATACAAGGTTTAGATTAGACCGGAAACGTGCTAACATCTGTCGTGTGGCCGGTTTAGTAAATACATCAGCCAATTGGTCATTAGTCGAGATAAACCTGACATCTAAAACACCAGAAGCAACACGCTCACGCACAAAGTGAAAATCTATCTCTATGTGCTTGGTTCTTGCGTGAAAGACTGGATTTGTCGTCAGGTATGTAGCCCCAAGATTATCACACCATAGAATGGCGGTACACTGCTTGAAGACCCCAAGCTCCTTGAGTAAGGTCTCCACCCAGATTGCTTCAGCTGCTCCATTAGCTAAAGCTTTATACTCTGCCTCCGTACTCGATCTAGAGACAGTTGGCTATTTCTTGGAACTCCATGAGACAAGATTTGATCCAACGAACACAGCAAAACCACTAGTGGAACAGCGGTCATCAATGCATCCAGCCCAATTAGCATCCGTGAAAATACTGACACCAGTGGAAGGAGATTTACGAATCCTCAATCCCGTACTCAAAGTCCCTTTACATAATGTAATATACGCTTGACAGCTTCCCAATGATCATTAGTCGGTTGTGATAAATACTGGCAAACCTTATTGACTGCAAAGGACAGGTCAGGACGAGTGAGTGTTAAATACTGAAGTCCTCCAACAATGTTGCGATATCGAGTGGCATCCTCAACACCCAAGGGAGTGCTGACCTCATGAGCCAGATGCTCAGTGTCAGATAATGGTGTAGAGGTAGGCCTACAATTCTCCATACTCACACGATGAAGAAGATCAAGTGCATACTTGCGTTGAGTCAGCGTCATGCCCCCTGAATTGTAGGACGCTTCAAGACCCAAGAAATACTGGGGAGGACCAAGATCCTTGATGGGAAAACTGTCGAAGAGGGATCTCACCAGACGATCAACTGCAGCTGGAGTGGAGCCAGCAATGACAATATCATCAACATACACAAGCATGTATATCTGGACGCCATGTGCGGCAAAGATGAATAGAGATGCGTCCGCCTTGGAAGAAACAAAACCAAGCTGAAAAAGTCGAGCACTGAGGCGAGCATACCAAGCACGTGGCGACTGTTTGAGACCATAAATAGCCCATTGCAACTTGCACACATGCGAAGGAAACCGAGCATCTTCAAAACC